TTCTGCCTCAGTTTTGGTCTCTTCCTTCTGACTGCTAAATGCATGTGCATGCAGCCCATGGAGACAATCATTACTTAAGTGACAAATACCGATGATGTAGTATGGTGTTCTTGTGTTCAAGCATTTGCCTTCCTGAGGAAAGCAGGCAGCATCAAGCGTTGGCTGCAGGGTTTAAAACTGGACATGAAGAGCTGTAGCATGATCTGAAAAACACATGCTATAAAGCTATAGGAGCTGTATTGGACTCATTGTATTGCTGAAACAGTAGAACCTTAGAAAAACTACATGGAAAAAAGTGAGGTAAAGTAGACTGACTCTCTAATGAACAGGGTAATATTAAATTTGGGGGATTATCATTCTGATGTCCTGTGCAAAATATCATTTGGTATCAAAATTGGTAATGTGGAGAGCTAGAAATCTTTTAAAATTATATATGCATATTTTATACATATGACTTTTTACAGGGTTTTGAAAGGCAAATTATTGTTTATTTACAGGGAAAGCTAACTTCTTTGCACTGTAATGAAATACAGTAAACTTCAACAAAAATACTACTCATAGTTTTTAAAGAAGGATTAAGTATATGTGAAAAAAACGGGAAGAAACCAAATTAATTTGGAAGACTTCACGCAGAAAAAGCATAAAGAACAGGGCTTATCTGTATAGAAGGTAATTGGATACTACAGTGTCTGACAGGTTGGATGACTTTCTTACCCTTTCAAGAAGGTTTGCTAAGAGAGAGTTGGAGTATGAGAGTGATTTAGCTGATTGCATCGCTTATAGTTTTCTTGGTACTTTAAAGTTTTCGTATTAGCATGGAAGTCATAGAGATTCTTACCTTCCACGTGACAGAGATAATATTTACTTAATAAATTTTGTCTTTAAATATACCACAGAATTTCATAGCCCCAGAGGAAAAGTAGTGACATTGAAAGTGTCATGGGAACTTTCGACTTGGATTCTTTCCTTCTGTTCCCTTTCATAAGAACTATACATGTTACATCAGAAACACAAATATAGACTGTGATCCTGCTTGCCATTAACTGCAAATCAAGTGTTTTTTACACAGGTTGTGGTGTGATTTAGTGACTTGGGATGGTGTAGGATTTGCAATCAACTTTCTCAGCCTCAATTAGGATGAAGTACCTAGAAAAGAGGAAGGATGGATTTGTGGTTTAAGTATGAAATTGAAAAACAGGAGATCTGTTCTTGATTCGATAACAGACTGATTTGTGGAAAAGTAATTTTTCTGTTCCTGAATTTTTATGTTCCTTAATTTCTGCTTATGTAAATATGAGTATTATTGACTGATTCTGCTGAATAGATGACTTGATTTATTAACATTCATAATGTGCTTTAAGACAAGGAGGAAATCATTATTAGGAAAGTGGATTTGAAAGAACTTATTACCTTCCTCAAAGAAAAGTTACTTGACAGTAGAATACCCTGAAAGCAATATCATCTATTGGTGTGTTTTATGTCCAGTTCATAGGTATGTGTAACAATGAAGATAAATTTTAAAGTACTTTCTGTGTGATTTCTGTCATATCTACCATAGTCTGTCATCTGCCATATTTACCAATATCTGTCAGCCTAAAATGTGTGCCACTTGTATCTTTATAGCTCTATTTAAAAAAATATATTGCCTGTCCAGATGATGCCACGGACTATTCTGGAAACTGTTTCTGTTCTGTTGGTTTTCCCCTTCGAGAATGGTTATTAGCAACAAAGAGCATACAAAAACCTAGAGTTGGAGTTCATCCTGCATCAGAAGTTTGTAACACTGAGACTGCCGGGCACAGCCTGCCACAGGTGAAGTAAAAGTAGTGCTGTTAGAGAGAAGCAGGTCCCAAGCACACAAGGTTTATTTCATTACACAAAACTGCAAATAAGCTTGTCTTCCTTAGAACTGGGTTTCCTGTTGCTTACATGTGGTTTTAGTTGATGCTCCTTGCATTACCAGTTACATAAATGGCCCATGACAGTGATTCTTGATTCTTTAATGCAGTATACACTGCCAACAGACTCTGCACCGTACTGTTGTGGATTTTTGAAACATCACTACTGAGCAGTGCACTGCACACATTCCCGCATGTGTAGTTAAACTGCAGTGTGCCAGATGTCACTCTGTCACACTTGTCGCCCCAGAAGCAGCAGTTGCCCTCACCACCTTTACCCTCCCTGCAGCAGAATTAGCAAGCCCCTCTCTCAAAGCATTTCCTCACTCTCTGCTGCCTTATCACCAGGATTCAGATTTGTGTGCAGTCAGATGTGCTTCATCACTTATGGTGGAGAATAGAATATGTACCTGGGACTTTATTCCCTTGGAAGTTATAGGTAATTCAGAACCTAATGAGCTTGCTGGCATGGGCAGCTGTAAGTATTTTCAACTCTTCCTCTGCTGTCAACACAGTATATCTTATCAAGTTTAGGGTCTTGATTTGCATAGAAAGGTCTCAATCTGAGCTCAATATACGCATGAGACTAGAAGTCTGAGATGAAGATCATGACTGATAGTGTGGCTATTTTGGCACAAGACACATAAAGATAATTATGGAAGAATGGAGAAGAGTTAAAAAAAAAAAACAAACAACCAGGAAGGATCACTGTGCTTGCATAAAATGATCACTTTTTCAGGCAAAAATCACCTTCCTATGAGTTTTGACTTTTTTAAACAGAAGAATAGCAGCATTGCTATTCAAAATACTATCTTCCTCTCTGTTTCTGCTTCATTGTTGCTAATTTGCAGCTAAAAACCTGACAATCATGTTATGCTTAACCAATTGTCATGCCAGTATCTTTAAAGAAACTATTTGGACATTTGTTCTAGTCAATCATCTGAGTATTTGATGCACAGCTGCTGGACTTCTAGAGTTAGTTAAGTCTTGATGGACATCAGGTCAGCCCACCCGATGGCATCAGCATTTTGCCAGACTTTCGTACTTCTTCTCTAACATAAGGCACAAAAGTGCTTTTTACTGTCATACTGCCAACAACTTCTCCACCTCCATCTTCTATACAGTATCTTGATGCATACTCACACAACTTAATACATCTTTAACTGATCAAGAGATCCGGTTGTTTGACAGTCACTCAGTAATCCTTCTACTATCATGGATATGAGAAACCGCCTTGTTTAGAGAACTCCACTAGTCATGATGAACCATTGCCAAAACAAATGAATTCACAAGTGAGTGGATGTTCAGTTCCACTGATGGGTATGGAAGTGTAATATGTGATCTTTCAGTGACTGGTTAACTGGTTTTCTGGGTTGATGTTCCAAAACAAATTGTAAAGGCAGCAGAAGTCAACCAAGAGCAGACAATCTTAATTAGAGTAGGCACCATGTCTGACCAGCACACTAGTATTAACATAGAAGAGAGTCAAACAGGCTGCTGAGGAAGTCTTAAATACTCAGTGCAGTCTGGAGAGATGAAATGATCTTACTGCCATTTGCAAGTGAACATGCCTTAAAGGAATAGTATGTGCTTTAAAATTGTTGTGTACATTAAGTACCATTATGCAGCATTGCATTCAAGGAATTGATTTTATGACATGTCCCTTTAGACATGGGAGGGAAAGTGTCAGGTTGCCCTAGACCTTAATTCAGAGTGATGTTCAAATGTTGGTTTTGGCACATGTCCTGGACTTGGCAGTGGTGTAATTTGTGTACACTTTTTTTTTCCCTACAAGATGGAAAGGCACATACAGATGCTTTTGCCAGAAAGAAATCCTTCTGTTTACCCCTTTTGCCCATTAAATCTGCAAAGTCTCTTATACCACACCACACATCCAAGAGAAAAAAAAACAATTATCAATCAGTCAAGAGCTGGCAATCAGCTGTATATTTCAGCAGGGATCTAATACAAGCCAGATGCTCTTCTGTCTGTCCCAAACAGCATCGTGTCGCTGCATTCACTGCTTGGCTATCAGCTTCTCAAGTGAATGGATGGAACCAGGTTTGGTCCTCAGTGCAATTTTTATATCCAAGTTCTCTGAGGGGGCTTGGATGTTATCTGAGCACAGGTAGAAGCACCTTGCAGAATCATCCCCTTGCAGGTTCTACAGTTGTTTCTTCCCCTGTGTCTGAGAAGTTCTGAGCTGATGCTGTGGACAAAATCATGGGAATTGTATGGTCACGAAAAGATGAATAAAAGAGGGGAAGGAGCATTGGAGGAGATCTTCTGCTCAAATATGAGCACAAAGTAGTAAAACCATTCTGAGGAAAGGTGTAATTTTTCAAGGCTTACTAGCACAACCTGTATGTTGTGCAAAAATTTGCCACCTTTGTGCAGTATAACTTGAATAATCTGTGAAGTGTTTTTAGGGTGGAAAATGCTCTGCACAGCACTACCATCTGAAACCTGAAACTTTAAGTCGTGGTGGGTATCCAGCCGCTTTCTGAAGGGTTTGGCTTATGTATAATAGCACAATCCAGGGAAAATTCTCGTTTTCTGCTTCTAAGCTACAGCCAGACTCTTGTAGGAACAGCTGATGAGCTTTAGCCTTGATGTAGGCATAATTTAAACAAACGCTGCAACCCAGTCCCAGTGATTGACCCCCATCTGTCTGTAACCAGAGAGATCCCAGAACAGCTCTGACCCTAAACTGGTGACAGGCTGCTATTAGAAGTGTCCTTTGGTAAGTCTCAAAGCCATAGTTCATAGAAACCAAACAAAAACAAGGGCTGTATTTTAACATGTTAGTGGTGAGTACAGATGCAGTCATTGCTGTCGGTAGCAGTGCAAGCACATAACATGCTGTGTGGTTAGTATTTAAACTTATCACCTGTTCTTCTGGAAGGGCTGGACACCTGATGTCACACACGCCAACACCCAAGAGCTATTAATAGGAGTATTTGAGACAGAAAAAAACATATATACCTTGCAAGTCTTTAAAACAGCTTTGTTGTTGGGGAGGTTTCGTTGGTAAAAGAAGGTCGAATCGTGACGCTCTTGGTTTAGACGGGAGCTTTGCAGAGAGGAGGGCGTAACCATCTTCCTTCAGGAAGTTCAAGATACAAAAGCTCATGACAAGGAAGCCCACCCTTCTCGGTGCCCCCAGAGCGCGGTTTGTGCCTCGCTGTCCGCAGCGGCTGGGGCTCGCTACCGCTCTCTCCCGCCCCAGGTGTCCCACGCACGCCAGGTGCCCCTGGCAGGGGGAAGCGGCCCCGGGCGGGCGGCGGGCGCCTCTGCCGGGGTCGGGCGGCGCTGCCGCTCCCCGCGCCGCGCCTCCTCCGCCTGGCAGCCAGGCGGGCGGGCAGGGAGAAGGAGAGGGAACGGGAAAGGGAGGGCGCCGAGCTCGCCGCCGCTCCGGAGCCGCGGCAGCGCGGCCGGCCTGGGCGGCAGCCGGACCCCCGCCCGCCCGGCAGCGGGAGCGCCTCCGCCACCGCCGCTCGCCCGGGGCTGCCTCGGCGGCCAGCGGAGCTCCCGCCGGCCATGGAGCTCTCCCTGCGGCTGCTCCTGGCGTCCTGCCTCTCGCTGGGGGCGGCCGGGGAATTTGACAGAAGGTAGGCGCGGGGAGAGCGGGGGCGGCGGCCGGGACCGGCCGGGAAGGGCCAAGTCGGCGTTCCCTCGGGGAGAGCGGAGGTAGCCCGGGCTCTCCCCTTTTTGACGCGGCGCGCCGTGGTGGTCCCCGGGCTCCTGCCTGGCACCGGCCCCCGGGGCTGGCTGCCGGCGAGGCGGGGGCGGCCGGAGCCCTGGGCAGGAGGCGTGTGGCGCTCCGCTCCCCGGTGCGGGCGGCGGTGCCCGCGGGCTGGCCGGCCGGGGGGCGCAGGTGGAGGCGCGGGGCCGCCGAGGGCGCTCCCGGGGCTCCCGGCACGGGCCCGCCGGCCCCCGAGCCTCCCGCCCTGCCCGGTGCCGCGCGGTGCTCGGCAGCCTAAACACGGGCTTAGGTGTAAGATAAGTTTATTGCTCTGGCGGGGCTGCGTCCCGCAAGAATTAAAACCAAAGCGCATCGCGTGCTGCAGAGATAAAATTAGCTTATTGACGCCCGGAGGCACTCGAAGCATACGGCGGCGGGGATCGCGGCTCAAGTTCTGACACGAAGCTCGGGGCGCGTGTGCCCGCGGGCCGTGTCGCGTCGTGTCGTGTCAAGCGTCGCGACCGGCGGCGCTGCAGGGAGCGGGCACTGCGCCGTGCGGGGCAAGCGGCCAGCGCGACCCCCGCCCTCCCCAGGGATTCGTTATGGGTTTGTTTTTTTTTAAATAGGATCTGTTCACATGCAGCGCTCACGGGGTTTCAGCCTGTCGTTTAAAGACATTACTGCTTCGTGTCAATAGTTTTTAGCTGTTTGAGGCTGTGGTATCTTTTCCTTGGAATAAGACTACAGCTCTCATTTTGTATTTTATTTCTGTTTAACAGTCCAAGAAGCTATTTTTTTCATTCTTTTTTTCCTTTTATGTTTCAGTGAGAAAATTTTTCATATATTGTAAAACTTTATGATGGCGTTTATTCCATACTGTAGGTTCTGTTTCAGACTTCTGAACTTCTGTTCAGTGCCAGCCTGGGAGTGGCAGCAATGAGCATACTGCAAAGCATGTTAGCTTTTTCAGGCTTTGCTCATTATCCTATTATTTCCCTTCTTCACCTGTTGGCATTTGAATTGTTTGAACTAAACAAAGTATTAATGATAGAAATATCCCAAGGCTCAACTGAGAGCAGTTACTCTCTTCAAAAAAATGAAAAAAAAATATATATCTCTATACACAGGAGAGGTATTTGCTGTTCTTTGACTTTTGGGTTTTTTGGTTGGTTGGTAGATTAATTTTTTTTTTTTTACTCTAGGATGATTTGAGCTACTTTTAAAATGTTTCACCAGACTTTGTTGAACTGTCTTGTACAGGTGGCCCAGACATATGGTCTCTTCTGCAGGACTGTGTCGGTTTGGAAGCAGAATTGACTGCTGCTGGGGCTGGGCCCGAGTGGCCTGGGGACAGTGCCAACGTGAGTATCACTGCTGCTGGGGCTTCTAGTCACTTGTAGAGAAGGCTTGTACACACCTAGTCATGTCTTTCACGTGTTCACACACATCCTTACAATGCAGGGCTAGGCTTTTGCACGTGTGCGCCTGACTGACTTAGAAGGATGCTGTCATGTTAAAATTCTGTCTGTTTTTAACAGTGCTAAAAATGATTGCAGTCAAATAAAGTAAAATGGAGTTAGGGCAATGAGAATTTGAAAATTTCTGTTTGGCTTCTGCTTTGTTTCGTGCTCTGATCTTATAACCTGGTGTAACTACGCTGTGTCATGTTACAGGTATTGCAAGGTGATAATATTTGCATCCAAGAAGGAAACCAAAATTACTGATATTTCACTTAGAAATTTTGATGGAAATGTTCCAATAAGTATTAAGCTCAAGTGTTCTTTCAGTAAACCCAAACTAAGGGAATAAATCTGCCTGACAGCATCCTTTTACTGGGTCACACGTGAAGAAAAACATCTCTGAGATTCTCACATCTATCAAGACTCTTTGATATGACTGCAGGATAAAACAGTAGATAAGTCTTCATCATTAACTACACCTTCAGTAGGAATTCTGTGGAGGCAGCTAGTACTGTCTGGAAATTAAAATTGTTAGGAGTGGTGTAGAGACTTCAGCTTGTTAAAATTACAGCCTTTTATACTGAGGATGCTTACTCATGTGTTTAACACTCATACATGAAGGACATCCTGAAGTTTTTGCAGAAGCAAGCCTATAAACACTGGTCCTTAGCTTTTTTTATTTTATTTTTTTATTTAGACAGAAACATATGTGGATGAGATAATTTTGTGCCAAGCCATTTCCAAAATAAAACAGGTGTTAAATGCTGTAAGTTCATAGTCTGCAGGTCAAATATTTGGCAAAGATAGGAAAAGCCTTGGAAATGCAACTCTCAGCAAAGGTTTTGTTCAAATCTGTAAACAGCAAAACTGGTTTCTCTCTTCCCAAGTATGTTAGAAGCCCACAGTGTTTAACAGTTACATAAGATGACTAGTAAAAAACTAAAGAAAGTACTTCTGGAATGCAACATCCCTGATACTGTTTCTTTGATGCAGAGTTCTCAGGTTGATATCTCTCAGGCCATACTATGAATAATTTTGATTTTTAGGGCTCTAATTGGTAACAAGTAATCCTTGCCTTGGCATGAATATTTATGAAGACAGAAGAAGAATATTTAGTTGCTTGATTGAGGCTACTCCAGAGGCAATAGGATCTATGTCCATCTTTCGTGATGCAGTTTTATTTGAAAATCACTGTGTGTTTAAATGTTTGAGGCTATGAAGGCTTAACTGGCAAATATCAATAATTTGATTTAAAACAAACAAACAAAAACCAAAAGAGTCCAACCTAGTGTGTCACTTTTCTTAGACAAGTTGTCTTCCATATTGCGACCATAAATCATAGCTCATGCTTAGGTTTAAGTTAATTTCTCATTATTACCCAATCTGATTTGTGTTTGCATTTTTATGATCTTGGGAGACAGAAGTTGCATAAATTTATACTAAAAAGATTAATAATTAAAAATTGGAAATGAGACAAAAGTAGTATTACGCAGAAAGTATAACATATTTGTTGTTCTTTGAATTCTGTCAGTTATTTAATTTTTAGTGCTAGCTTTTCCAGATACTATAAATGCTTTTTTCTTTACGGCTAAAGGTAGGTGAATGCTCACCTCCTTCCACTGCATTTTAGTCCATTATCCACAAATTTGTCTCTATGCACATTCAGAAGACATGTAGATAGGTATTTTCTGGGATCATCTCCAGTAATTGGGACCAGACTTTCAAAAGAATACAGTTATCACTTAGGTGTCAAAAAGCATTTTCCCCCTTTTTTTTTCCTTTACATACTGATAATTTTTGAATTGCTGGGTCAGAAGAGTCTCAGATATTTGGGTGAAAATTTTACTGAAACCATCAGCAGCTCCTTCTCTGTTCTAAATGGGAGTCAAACTATTGGCAAAATAAAACATGAAAATCTGCCCCAGCTGTGGGTGGTGAAAATTCCAGACATATCACAAAGCAGGAGATTACACTAAATGGAAGTGAATCTCGCTGGTGCTTGCAGCCAAATAGAAAATCTGTAGTCAACTCTCCACTTTGGGAATGTGGCACCCAGTATGTAGGATTAACCTGGCACAGAAGGCAACATTCCTGGCCTCAAATTAAAACTTGGGTATTTTACTGTACAAAGGAATATCACTGAAAATTTTCCAAAAAGCCACGTACATGATTATTTCCTTTGCCTTCTCTCTGGTCAAGGTAAAGCTCTTAGCCCTGTTCCCAAAATGAGTGGCATAAATAGGTGTCAGATTTTCTCTACTAGATGTACATTTTCTTTGGTGTTGATAGTACAAGTTCTGTTTGCACAAGGAAAACAAGTGTAGGGTCAGACTTAAAAGTTAGTAGTGAGACCCAATTTATAAATGTGTCCAAAAGAAGCTTCAATATTTAGGCAGTAATGCTGAGCTCTTTATTAGTGAGTTGGAACTGCTGTTTTTCAAACCAGCTTGAGCCATCCTTGGTATGCCTGCAACTGCTAGAGCACCTTTGGACTCTCACCTGCTTACTCACACATAATTTACCACAAGAGCACTAATTATCTCTGAATTTATCCTTCTGACAACAAATATAAGGTGGGAGCTGTGCTGGAGCCAGAGTGGAGCAGGCACACAGATACGTGATAGGGTGGTCCCAGTTTGCAAAGACCTCTGAACTGTGATGAGTCAAGGCCAAGTGGTCACTAAAATACCTGGATGTGTTTTCTGCTGTCCAGCTGAGCTGCTCCACCAAGTACATGTGGATGTGCCCTCTGCCTACAGCTATTGAGAATAAAAATGTTTGTTTAAACCAGCTGTGTAATTTAAGGTAATGGTTTAATTGTGACAAATGCTTAAACCTGAATGTGTCAGCTCTAGCAGAGCACGAATGTGGTGCAGCTGACGTGTGTCATTAAGGTCTTAAGCCTTGGTGACTCTGTGCTCCTGATCTTCCATCCATAATCCATCCAAAGAGTTGCAAATTGAAACTGAGCTGTGTTAGCTAAACTTGGTTTTGTGAAATGTGAAGTTACTCCTTTTATGTCCCTTTGACTGGCAAAGGAGTGCACGTGGAGCATAGTCATGCTTAGTGCTGCTTAGCAACCTCATTCAGCATAACAACTCAGCTGTCTTCTGCTCTTATAAACATGTAGGAAGAAGTTGAAATAGGGCCCTCCTTTAATTTACACTTCTTTCTTTACAACATCCTCTGTCTCCTCTTTACACTAATCAAGACTTGTGCACGTAGGTCTGTAAGCTTGCTTCCAGAGCCTGTCAGTGTCAGCTGTAACATCTCAGCCAGTAGAAATATTCACTCTGCAGTGACAAGAAATTCCTTTCCCAAATGCCCTTTCAAATTCCAGTACATGTGCTTAGAAGGTGTCCTTCAAACTGAAAGAATCAAGAACTTTGAAACAGGTTGGATTTTTTTTATTTTTCTTTCTTGCAGGTTTTGAATACCCGAGTGAGATCCATGTTTAGGCAGCTAAATGCATTTTGAGAGTGATAAAAACCTAGGCATATTTTCAAAGGGTCTGAACAAATGTAACTCAAATTAATTGGCATTTCTTAGTCCTTGTAAATTGAAAATACATCCAGACTTGTTTAGTGGCTTAGATCTAGAACTATGCATATCTTCCATCATTAACATAACTAAGTAGCTTTTCTTAGATTTTGATTTGGTTTGTAAAAGATTAATTCAACTTGGTGTGTAGAAAGGCTAATTTGGAAGCAACAGAAATTATGTTTTAACACCAACTATTAGCTCTTATGAAGTGCCCTCATCATTGATAGAGTTGATCCTTTACTCTGAGGGACTCACAGCATCAATGCTCTGAAGTTAGATATTAAATATCCCACTTATTAGTCCAAAAATCCCATGTTGTTGCCCAGCCTGCAGGATTTACTTGCACTTTAATTAGTGGGAGTGGGAGTAATAGCTGTAAGTGGGAATAATCACACAAAAGCTTTCCTCTCTGAAAGAAGGTATGTTGATAAAGTACCTGATGAAATATGAGTAAAAATAGTGTTGCTGTTTTGCTTTATGTCTTACTGTTGTGCACACAGCTGAGCTATAACCCAGAGTAAAAGTGAAGGGTAGAAGGAGTTGCTTCTGAATTCTTTTCTCAGAGCAGAGGAGGCGACTTGCTGTGACACAGTATTTTTGGTGACAGCAGGTATCAGTAGTGCATTTTTAATTCCCAAGTGCTTTTACATTGTAAGGCAACAGCATCTGTGGTACTGAATGTGTTGTCCTGACCCAGAGCCCATTCAAGGGGTTTTAAAGGACACAGGGAAAATCAAGTCAGGACATGTGTCCTTGCACGCATCTTGCACAAATACAAAAAATAATTCTTTGTGTGTATTTTTGCCACTCATCTATCTGGGTTCCCTCAAAATTGTTCTTAAAGCTAATGATCTGTCTGCCTCTCTTTTAGCTGGCTTACAAATATCTCTGTAGTTCTTTCAAAAGCTATAAAAATGGTTTCTGCCTGTGCGTGTGTTTTTCATGAACAAAATACACCTGCTTTGAACCTGGCTGTGTGTCTGTTTGTAATTGATTTGTACACCAGTTATACGTAGTCAAGGTACACGACAGATGTGAAGATTGTTTCAAAATTTTAGCTGCAGTTTAACAGCAAAAAAATGTGGAAAGAGATAATACTTTAACATAGTTTTAAAAAGTTAAGCAGGATTTTTAAAAGAAAAGCAATATGATGTGGCTTGCATTCTCATTCTGCATTACAGTTTGGACAACTCCTTTGCTGGAGGTGAAGGCAAAAATAGTTCCTTTTGCTGTGTTAACATAGATACAGAAGAGAAGACCATATCTGCACCTTGTATAAACAAATGCAGGTCTACTGTCAGATCCTCTGCTGATTGGAGTCTGTGTGACTGTTGGAATTAGCAGATTTTGTTTGATAGATAGAAAGTTTGACCAACAGAAGATGCTTAATAGGAATAAAACTTAACATGGGTTTGATAAGCTGTGATATTTGATGACTTCACCCATTTCTATGTGTAATTCTCCTTAAACAGTAAGAAAATCCATGCAGTGTGTCTCAAGAAGGGGTGGTGAAGATGAGGGTGCTCTTTCAGAGAGCCCATCAGCTGTAACTCCATCTGTTTATCTCCCTGTGTTGAGGTTTGAATGTTTTACCTAGGAATCACACCCAGAGTAGGTCAACAAAGTAATTTTCCACCACAATTGGCTAAAAGGCCTAGGGAGAGAACAGTCAAGGATGTATAAAGTCAAACCATCAGTTTACACCTCCCCTTAGCTTAGCATCGTTAAAAAAGTGTTAATTGAAGGATGTCAGATTGGCATTTAGATTTAGCCAAACCTGGTAGAAAGCGTATGATTTCAGGAAGTTCTAAAGAGGACTTGCAAGAGAGAAGAGCTTGTACAAGTTGATGTATAGCAGATGCAGGCATAACTGAGTGCTTTGCTGGGAACTGTGCATGTTGTTGCCTTCTCACAACCCTTGGTAAGGCTCTTGCAGTGTCTGTGCTGCTGTCCTAATGAGCTCAAAGGCTGTGTACTTTTTCTGTGTAATCTCTTACAGGGGTGTGAGGTGGTGGGAGGGGGAGGCAGCAGTGGCTGTGCTCTCATTGATGCTTACAAAGAGATTTTGTATTGGTGAATATGAAATTGATGGGAGTTTACCCATATAAATCATCCAACACATCAATGGGAGAAGAGGCCATGGGCAGCTTAGGATTTCTGTTTCCTGCATGTAACATTGTTTTCAGTGGAAATGGCAATTCTGTATAGTCCAAGATGCACAAAAATAAAACCATGATAGTATCAATAATGACCTGTGAAAATACTGGTTTCTAGGAGGCTGATCCACTAGCAGAAACATCCCTAAAGTAAGTGAGAATTTTGCTACTGAATTTGGGATTGCAAGATCACAGTCTGAATTAATGCATTGTGTTGGCAGTGTTGAATAAATACTGATATAGAGCATGTCTGCTTTTTATAAAATGACTGATATTTTTGTGCATCCCTGGTACTTTTCAAAGAAAAGGTATTTTATACAGAATTGCAATACTGCTTTACACTGCTATTCAAGAATAAAAATGAGGTTTTGCTATTTTTATTCAGTTTTTTCCAGTTTAGAACCTTTATGCCTTTAAAGCATGACTTGACTGGGTTAAAGATACAGTATCCTTTTCTATTTCCCTACTGCATTCCTCATGCACTTCATATGCAGATTAGTAGTTTTGCAGCCTGCTTTTTTTCTAAGGAAATGTCATCAGTAATCAATTTAACCAATTGCAACTATAGTATACTCATAATTGCATCTTCTCTGAAAGCCCAGCAACAACCTGAGCAACTTCCTTTCACTGTAGCCAAGGCTAAGGGACTTCCTAGTTGAAGCTAATTTAAACTAGTATAAGTTTCAGTCATAGAAAACCCTGAAGTGTTGGTCGCACACTACTTAAAATACAAAGAGATGCTGTTGCTCAAGTCCCAGCCTGCTATCACAACGCTCTGTAGCCTAACAAGCCATGCTGCTAGCATTAAATTTATTGGCAAATAAAATTATTTCAAATAGCCTGAAACATATATCTGAGTTTTCATCTTATATTAGTTGTGTAGCATATCTTGTTTCATGTGGTAGTAAGAGCTGAAAAGGCTTCTAAGTTTTAATTTAGATGACATTACACTTTTAAATGTTATAAAAATGACCAGTAAATTTGTGCGCCAACACGTTTATTGGTTGCAGATGTTCAGATACATATAACTGGGTGTAATTTTAATTGCTCTTAAATGAGCATCCAGATGCTAGACCTTTGTGTTTGAGCTGTGGAGACACAGCGTTAAATTAAAAATACATACTCATACTTAAATGAAAGGATACTGTGTCTTTAAGAAAAGCATTTGTGCTCTGTTTATGGAGATGTTGAACCTGAACCGTGAAACATGAGAATTTTTACAACTTCTTGCTGTATGAAGCTTGACAAAGTTTAGTTCCTTAGTTGATTGAATAAGAATAGCATCACATCATTATATTTAATTACTCTTATGTATCAAAATGTATTTGTTAAACCTCAAAATGAAATACTGATGTAAGGTATTTCCATTTTTAAATGTGTACCAGAATTTTTTTTTATTACAGAAAAGCTGAGAATGTTGAATGTATGTAATTCTCCAGGAATGTAACAAGTTGATAAAAACCACAGCCAAGTCCATCCTCCTTACAGAAAAAAAAAAAAAAAAAAAAAAAAAAAGCAGCTGGAATTTCTCTTTTGGATATTTGTTTTGCAGCATTCTACGTCTTAAGGCAGAGAATAGCCAGCCTAAGGTGCCAGCCCAAAGGTTAGCTGAACATATTTCTTGAAATACTTTTGGCAAGTTTATGACTTGGAGTTATGGCCTTGAAGTCATGCATTTACATGAAAATTTTAATATGTGACAAGAAGGTAATTTTTTGTTGTCTTTCATTTTTTTTAAGCATTTGGGGAAGATGATGGGGGAAAGAAATTAACAGGGCTATTTTGTCCCAGATGCCTCTACAATGATACACTTATTTTCTAAAATATATTGCTTTTTCCCTTTTCACTCCTTTTCTTTATTTTACCCTCAAGCCCTGTGCAGTATTTTTTCCCTTTCTGCAAAGTATTTGTACTACCAGCAATGCATTTACAAGCTGTCAGAACTAGGAGGCCTAATTTGCTTTCATGGCACTGAATCATGTGCAGTGAGAGGTTATTTTGGGGTGGCTGAGGCACTCACTGACTCCCACTGCCTGCTTTGCACTTCCACTACAGGTTGTCCTTCCCAGAACAGGGAAACTACAGCCCTTGGTCTCCAGCAGTGTAGAACCTGGCACGCTAGAGCAAAATGAAATCAACATAGTTTACTTTGGTACCTATGGCTGTAGTCTGTTGCTGCTTAGGAATTGATGTGTCTTGTTTGTTCCTGGCTCACTGGTGAGGTTCCAAATGACTGGAAGCTGGCCAATGTGACACCCATTCACAAAAAGAGTGGGAAGGAGGATCCTGGTAATTATAGACCAGTTAGCCTGACCTCAGTACCCGGTAAGGTCATGGCACAGTTTATACTGAGTGTCATCACCCAGCATTTACAGGATGGCCAGGGTATCAGACCCGGCCAGCATGGCTTTAGGAGGGATAGGTCGTATTTGACCAACGTGGTCTCCTTCTATGACCAGGTGACCCTCCTGGTGGATGCAGGAAAGGCTGTGGATGTTGTCTGTTTGGATTTCAGCAAGGCCTCTGACACTGTCTCCCACAGCACACTCCTGGAGAAGCTGCAGCCCATGGCTGGGACAGGAGCAGTCTGCTGGGTTAGGAACTGGCTGGATGGCCGGCCCAGAGAGTGCTGGTGAACGGTGCTGCATCCAGCTGGGGCCAGTCACCGGTGGTGTCCCTCAGGGGTCTGTGCTGGGATCTGTTCTGTTCAACATCTTCATTGATGTCATGGATGAGGGGATTGAGTCCTTCATTGGTAAATTTGCAGATGACACCAAGTTAGGGGCATGTGTTGATCTGTTGGAGGGGAGAAAGGCCCTGCAGAGAGACCTGGAAGGGTTGGTTGAATGGGCAGAGTCCAATAGGGTGAAGTTTAATAAGTCCAAGTGCCGAGTCCTGCATTTTGGCCACAATAACCCCCTGCAGCGTTACAGGCTGGGGACGGTGTGGCTGGACAGTGCCCAGGCAGAAAGGGACCTGGGGGTGCTGGTGACAGCAGCTGAACATGAGCCAGCAGTGGGGCCTGGTGGCCAAGAAGGCCAAGGGCATCCTGGCCTGTGTCAGGAATGGTGTGGCCAGCAGGAGCAGGGAGGTAATTTTCTCCCTGTACTCAGCACTGGTGAGGCTGCACCTTGAGTGCTGTGTCCGGTTCTGAACCCTCAGTTTGGAAAGGATATTGAGATGCTGGAGTGTGTCTAGAGGAAGCAACGAGGCTGGTGAGGGGCTTGGAACACAAGCCCTGTGAGGAATGGCTGAGGGAGCTGGGGGTGTTTAGCCTGGAGAAAAGGAGACTCAGAGAGTGATAAGGTCACCCCTACAACTTCCTGAAAGGTTGCTGTAGTCAGTGGGGGGTCAGTCTCTTCTCCCACAAAACAACTGACAGAACTAGAGGATGCACCTTTAAGCGGCGTCAAGGGAAATAGAGGTTGGATATTAGGAAAAAGTTTTTATAGAAAAAGTGATAAAGTACTGGAATGGCTCGGGGAGGTGGCGGAGTCACCATCCCTGGATGTGTTTTAAAAGAGATTGGATGTGGCACTCAATGCCATGGTTTATTTGAGGTTTTAGGGCATGGGTTGGACTCGATGATCTTGAAGGTCTCTTCCAGCCTAGAGATTCTGTGATTCTTTTTGCACTCCCTGTGGCAGAGGCACAAGAGTCTCAGGGAGGAGCAAAGCACTCAGCCATTCATCTGTCTGTGAAATCAGCTTTGTTACTGTGATACAGAAGTTACACGCTGGAAGCCAGTGGATGTTTTATATTCAAATAAACAAAGCATCAGTAGGACCCAGTTTGTTTTCTGTCACCACACAGAGACATCATTTCTACCTGTTTTAATTCCGTGAACACATAGAAAAATTCAGGTAACAAACAGGCATTTGAGACAATAAGCACCATTCTTTAAGCAGTTTTAGTGAATCACTTGAAGTGCAAACACAAAGCTTGACAAAGCCATGAAATAGTTCTTGCTTTTCTAATTTGCATGTGTTAGATCAGATTTCTGCTGATTTTTAAAAAAAGGGTATTTAAGTGTATAAGCATTAGATTAACTTTTACTGACTTCACTAAATCCTATTGATTTCAGTGTTAAATTATGCGTGCTGTGTAGAGCTGTTCTGAATAGCAAGGCATTCATAAACCAGGGTCTGGATTTGTCTGTGTGGTTTAGAAACACATTTGGCAGCAGTCATAGCCAAGCCAAGAATTCACTGCAGTGAATGGCCCACAGTGGTTGCAGTTTGTCATGTTAATGTGCTGTTACTAGAATCATAAGTGCAAACTGAGTAACTGATTTACTCGGGCAAGTGTTGGAGCTGTGCATGAAAAATAAGGAGCCACTTAATGGAATGTATGTTTCAGATAAAAACTTGAACATTTTGACAACATGAATGTCACAAATAAGGGCAAGTAATTTCTGAAAAAATATTTAAGCATTAGATACTACCATTTTGTCTGATGTTATTGTCAGTTGCTAGTTACTGAAGTTGGTCAAGCACCTTTATTATCTTCCAAAAAAAAAAATATATATAGTAAGAAGTGTTGTGCAGATGAAATTAACTGAAAATTAACACCCAGTTGTCCTAGTCAGGCTTATTAATCTCTGCAGAGATACATTCTGTGACTCCTAATTCACTTGTTTGGGAAGGAAGGTCACTTTTTCAGAAGTAATTCTCTAATGTGAGTTTGGCGTAGGATGTGTTTTTAACACCTTCTAGTAACTTTGAGGTGGGATAAACTTTATGCATTCTCTTGCAGTTGTGAGTAATTGACGTATGTAGTTGAACAAAAAAGAAATATGCAACTTTGAAGGATCTACAATGATTTATTTTACAAATTAGCTCATACTTTCAGGATCCTAGGTCAAAATTACTGCGAATAAGGCAGTTTCATTTTCCTGAGCGCGTTATGTGAATTTACAAAGAATTGCAAAAAGTAAACAGAGAGAGTTGAGAGCTGCAGCTGACTCTGAGGGAGAGGAGTACTATGGAGCTTGTCATTGTGGTCTGTGAGCACCATAGTAGGAAGACACCCAGGTTCAGGTGGAGGAGGCAGCCTGGAGGAAAGGTTCTTTCACCCACATGCAAGCCTTGTTAGAAAGCTGGCAGTGGGGGGGAATGTAAGAAATGATCTGAAGATGGGAAGTGTGTTCTGCAATCAGCAGTGTAAGAGGATCCAATAAAGTTATGTGGAGCTGATTACACTATGTAATCATTTCTGGGCTGCGGCACAAATTACTTGCTGTGCCTTAAAATTGAATTTTAAGGAGCTGGGATATGGATTCAGAATAAATAGGGGGGCTGCATGTTACTTGGGAAGAAAGGGCAGAAACAAGGCCACTCAGGCAGATGGCTAGCATAGTTTGTTTCAGATGAAGGCATTTCTGTGCATAATTTTAGGTTTCAGAGAGATGAAAAAGAAGTTCAGAAATTGGGAGGCAAAGCAGAGAACAAGAATACAAGAATGTACTCAATGCTGTTTTAATAAAAAACATAGCTAGGAGTGCTGGAAAACCAAAGATAATTTTAATTGCTAGAGATAGTCCATTAAGAAAGCTGAGGGATTTCCATTGTTGGCCACAAATGAAGAGGAATAAGCAGGTAGGAACCAGGCAGTGCAATCTTCTGGTTAGGATTCCACCAGTGTTTGGTAGTCAATAAAGAGATCAGTAATGTTAAAATTCTAGAAGAGAAGAACTAGAGGAGACGGCATGTGGTAGTCACCCATGCCCTAAAAAGTGGGCAGCCTAGTGCAGAGGATCTGACCAAGTGTGAGGTGTCCTTCCAAAGCAGTTGCGAGGGAACTGTGTGCAGTGAGAAAATACAGATGAAATGAAAGCATCCCCCAGCATTACAGACCCATAATGAATTTGTTGAACGTGTTTTTAATTTGTTGTATTTATGCAACAATTAAAAATAATTCAGAATTGTTGAGTAATGCTTGGATACCACCATCAGCAAGCAGTGGCTCAGAAGCTTGGTGGCTTCTGGCTTTTGCACGAGCATAACTTTTGCTAGGAGCATGTGATTTCACCAGAAATTCTTTCTTCCACTCTCCCACACTTGAAAAAAAAAACCAAAGCCAAACAACCCATCATAAACCCAAACTACCCATTCACATTTCAGTTCCTTGTGGTATTTTTACAGGAAGTTTAATTTGTCCTGAATTTTAAGTGAGACTTAAAATGTGGTATTTGTCACCTTATTTTGGAGGAAAAAGGTAGTTCTTGACAACCTTGAAAATAGGTACTCAGATTTATGGCCAAATAAAAGGCCCTAGGATACCTCCTTGAAGTTAATGGGAACTGAGAGCAAATCTTCACATCTGACCCAAAAAAAAAGCATTTAAATGATCCAACTGAAATGGATAACCATGAGACCAGAGCTTTTTTTGCTGATTATCTCTTGAATGAATTGGTGAATAAAGTCAAAAGGAAAGTTTATTATAGTTCATTCTGTGGCACAGATAAAAAGCAAGACTTGACTAAAGATGAAAATTGCTGTGCTTAGGATTTCTTTTTCTATGTCAATCGACATTCCTACCCAATGGGAGTGCAGCTTAAGAGCTTTCAGAGAGTAATCCTCGGAGTTGTGGTAGGTCTGCTTTGATACTGATTCAACAGTAAATTAGCAGTCTTGAGTGGCATTTTTCTATCCAGTATAATTTTAACTTTTGTTTACAACAGTTACTATTTAAAGAGTAGAAAGTTTTTACTGATTTTTGGCAGCCCCTTTCAGAACCTTCTGGTTTCCACTGTCCTGTCTTCATAAGAGAGTGACTTTCTCAACCTGATGTAACCCTTCTCTCTACATTTCCTTCTTCTCTAGTAAGGAAGCAAGTGTTACATAACAGGCTGAAATCCAGGGACATGGGTTACTTCAGTCGTTGTAAATGTGGGTCACTTGGAAGGAAGTGATAGTTTATTGATTGTGAAG